CTTGATGCGTGACCTCTTCTAGAACGACAATTAGAAGAATTAAAAGGACTCTCCCTTTCTCAAAAACTACTCATTTCCCCCAAATAGCAACTTGGAAAAAACTCCCTTGTGTTTTTGTTGTGAACAGTTTGGGGAGGAACGAGGAGCTGGTACATTCACAATGCGCAATCAATCCACCTCCAGTTCGTTCGAAGACTCGATTATGCTTCTGGAAGACATCTCGTCTAAGTTACGAGGACACAGTTCACTTGGCGCCTATGTGTTGCGCCATGCATCTGACTCCCATGCAGACGTGTTGTAAAGATGTAGATTGAAGATAAGGTTCACATGAGGCTTTCTCTGCATAAGGAGAGGTCTATGCTCAACGTTGAAACATGTGCAGAGGGAGGGGTGTACAGAAGTTCTTGATTTAAGGCAGCATCTAAAGGAAGTTGGCACGACGGTTTCCTACTTAGCCTAAAATGCTAGCAGGGCGCTGTATAGCGGGGAAATGGTAAAAGAAGGGAGTGAAACGGTCAAAATCCTGCGAAGAAAAAGCCTCCGTTCTCATTGAATTGTAAATCGATTTCGGATGAGTCTCCCGTAGGCATCTTACCAATCACCGCTAACGAAGATACGGCTGCATATGTGTGCCCATATATGCATGCAGCATCACGCCGCTTCATACCATCCCTTCGCTTCGTAATTTGCTCAGCAAATGAATGAATACGAGCATTAGGAACGGTCGTCCATTTGTGGGCGGCCGGGCGTGGCAAACGTTTGGGACGGAAAGTTGTGGCTTGATAGGGCCCTTATAAGAGCACATTCCTCGGGGAACCGCTATGCAGCGCCTACCCAGTGTCGCGGAATTCTATCCTGCCAGGAGTATTGATCCTAGTCGTCTTGGGGGATCTATCGTGCCAACTGCCTTTAAGGTATAAAAATGTAACACAAATTTTTCGAAAACCTCGTGTATGGAAGAGAGCCTAACTTGGCGCTGGTGTTGAATATAAGTTACTTGTACGGCTTGCAGGGACTGTCAATGTTCTGAGGTTTCCATGAAGCTTTCTGAATGAAATATAAGCGGCATAAATGTTCAATGGGCGGCGGTTGTTGAAGCGGAAAGCTGAGGTTAAGATGCAGTTAAAGGCAATTGGCACGATAAATCCTCCAAGACGAGCAGGACTAATACGCCTGGCAGGACGGAATTCCTCGACCCTGAGCAGGCGCTGCATAATGCCTTTTTCAGGGAAGGTGTTCTTGTAAGAGCACTATCAAGCCACAACTTTACAACCAAAACGCCCGCCACGCCCGCCCGCCCACAAGTGGACCACTTTTCCAGACGCTCCAACTGATTCGTTTGCTAAGCAAATCATTAAAGGCACAGTTTGCGCCCGGAAATTGCGGGAAACGAAACTCAAATAGACACAAAAAAGTGACTAAGTATCTCATTAGCGGAGAAAAGCAGCAGAAAGAGCAGTCCGAATGTATAGAGAAAGATAACATAGTGACTACTAGCTAGTAGCTAGCAGCCGGTGAGTGTCGGCATGGGCCTAAGGGGTGTCCACGGGCCTAATTAGTCAGCTTCTAGCGGAGTTCTTGCCGTTTCTCACATTTTGAAAGTAGTGCAGCCTCAAAAACTGCCTTCCGGATCGTCCGACGCATTTAAGAGGTCATAGCCTTATTTTATCGCGGAATGTGCCTTTAAGCGAAGGCATTGGTATGAAGCGGCCGTGATGGATATATGAGTACACATATGCAGCCGTACCTTCGGTAGCGGTTATTGGCAAGATGCCTACAGGAAACTCGTCCAAAATTGATTACTAACACAGAACGGAACGGACTTTCCCGAAGGATTTTGACCGTTTCACTCCGTTTTTTCGCCGTTTCTCAACTATATGTATAGCGCCCTACTAGCATTTTGAGCCGAGCATCCAATCATCGTGCCAACTGCCTTTGATTCAGTAGTTTTGCCCCCTCGGGCCGGTTAACGTGGAACCAATCGTAGCCTCACAGAATGAGCCATGCACACTTGCTGGGCTAATAGTAACGCTCAGAAAACCTGCCCTATTTCTTTTTTTTTGGAAGGTTATTTGCTGCCCATCTGTAATATGTTGTCTTCAGCAGAGTGGATTGCCTTCCTAGGGGGGGATTTTTTTATCGCATTCACCAGTGCGCAATGGATCTGATTAGCTATAAGCCGTAACACGCCAGCCATGAAATCGACAGAATCACAGTTTTTGCAGTTGGGAAGGAGTTCACTGGTCTTTTACTCTACACTCTTGGTACCTAAATGCTTGCTATCATGGATCTTCTGAGGAAAAAAAAGTCCGTGCACGGCTCTTTCAAGAGTACCAGAGCGTATGGTTCACACGAAAAGCAAACCCAAGCACAAAGTGTGCTACCATGCGCCGTTTACTTCCCCTATTGCCCAAACCAGAAAAAAGGACTCGGATCGCTACATGGGAGTGCATACATACATTGCGATTTAATCGTGCAAGCGAGTGATTGGTCGCGCCAACCGCGCATGCGATTTGGTCGCTCGTCGCTCTCATCGCGCGACCAATTCCGGAAGCGCTCCGCCGCTAATCGGTGGACGGCTGCAACGGCGCTGTTTCAATTCTAATCGGAATAAAAGGCATTCTATCCATTGCATATACATGTATTAAGTGATGGCGGTTATAAATCACTGCAAGAAGATGTCCGCCAGTTAGGATTTTATGCCAACCGCTCGAACGCAACTATGGAGCATTAAATTTATTTTTGTTTTCAAACAGACGTCAAAGGAAAGCTCGAGGCAATTCAAAAGCTCCCCAGTAAGGGAACAGGGGCAACTTATTGCAAAGAGAAACGAAAGAAAGGAATTTGAAAAAAACCGAAAGATTCTAGTATGTACCAGATACCAAATCGTTATTTAAGCGATACCTTTTTTGATTTGGTATTTTTCAGCTCAGAACGGCTGCTGGGTGAACACTGAGGCACGACCCCCACGCCACTTATGATTTGCTACGATCATGACCCACACAAATAATGCGTCCCTTGAAGAATCGTTATTTGCGGAGGAAGTGTACATGGGGAAGGGAACATGTGCGTGTGAACGAGGGCGGCTGACCTCATGAAAGACTTCGAAAATAATTCAGATTCCACCTTCTCCAAAACAAATACGTTTCTCCATTCAACTTGGTTGAGCTTTAGGGTTCTCAGAAGTTTTCAAGAGTGCGGCGCGAGCATAGCCTCCCAGGGAAGGCATGTGTTGCTTCAATTTGAAAATTACTTCTTAATTTTTTACTGCATATTAACCGTTGAAAAGTGATTATAGGGATGGGCTGACTAGTGTATCAGAACGCTGGAAACACTGGGTAGAAGACTTGTAGGCCTCTTTGGCGGTAGGCGCTGGTGCACGCTGGCAGACGCTAGATCGATATCTACACTTTTCCAGTCGTTGACACTGCTGCAGGCTTGAAACGCTGGTACGCTATTGGTCGTTGGTGAACGCTGCCGCAAAGTATGAACGCAGTCCAGGCGATTCTGCCTAAGGCGAATAAGGCCAGCACAAGCCTTAAAGCATTACTTTTCCTCATCTTCTTACTACTTCTCCATCCACTCACCTTGACATGATATATCAGACTCTGTCAGAAATTCCTCTATGCCAGCATCGTCACAGTAATTGACCTTACAGTTTATAGTGACTGTTGTTATCCTTACTACGATTCCTTCTTTTTCTGTGAGCTTTTGGAGTATTAGAAAGTGTAACAATTTACTGGGAACTTATATCTGGAGGTTCTGCACAGCGCTCGTTTTTGGAGGGAAAGGCAGCCCTAGGAGGCATTAGTGTTAAAAACATATAAAAAGAAAGCAACGGACTCGCTATTTCGGGGGCAAAAGACAAAGCTTTCGCCACTGTTGGAGGCTTTTGGAGATGCGCCATGTTTTCTGCTTCCTTTGAAAACAGATGGAGTTTTAAATGCAATATGGTTTAAGTAGTGGCTTGCGGAGTCAGATGGATATATCTTTTTTTACCCTACCACAGAGGTCTGGTATCAATTCACCTGACTAAGAGGTATGGAAGGTTCAGATGCCCATTCGGAGTTTGGCTCCCGTCTGCACCCGTAAGCGCCGGCGCATCTTGCTACTACTCCATATCCGCTCACGCTGCCATTGTGTTAGCCCAATTTTCAAAAGTAATCGAGGGCATTTTAGGATTCATGGTTCATAGTGAGTGCGAATTTACTGCGAATATAGATGCTAATAGTGTTAGTTCTCACTGTCCTACAGCCGAATTGAGGCTTCCTAACAGGGACGTCCTCTCCTACGGGAAAAGTTTCGCAAAAAAGACACCCTTCCTCCCGTTTTCACTTCCTTCCACTGGTACGTCCGCTCTCTCCCTTCCCCCCTCCCATTTCTCCACCGACCACATACGACCCTTTCCCCTTGGGCTACGACGTGCCCTGAGTGGTAATCGGCTATCAGTCTTTCTTCTACTTTAACATAGGCTTCCACTCATAAGTCCCGCACTCCTTGGTCAATTTGGCTAATGTATTTAAACATGGTGTACTTTTCAATGACATTTTTTCCCATCAACGTATTGATTACTTTGTGGTTAGTATCGGTTCGAACTTGTTATAGACGGCGGCGTGACCTCAACATCACTGAGCCGTGAAAATCTTTCCGACATTTCCCTGACTTGCCGACTAGATCTCATCCTCGTAACTCCGCATGGATTCACCTCGGTTGCCATGATTATCGCACGTTATCGTGACTAAGAAACAACCCATTCATTCGTTTTCGCCAAAAAAGTTTACTCAAGTATCAAAGTAACCCCGGGGATGATTTTTGTTATCCTGTTGGGTGTATTTATCATCTTATCGAGAATTGCTCCACTCGTTTTCATGGGGGTTGTAGCAAAAACTCGCAAGCGCTACTCAATACATAAGACACGCCATATCCAACATCGCTCGCAGTACTAGTACTAGTATCACTCTATCTACTCTACTGATTTATTAATCAATTCCAGAGGTGGAATGGCCCAGGAGAAGAACAATTTCACCCAGACGTGTATACTGGTCTTCTCTTTGATACTAATTGTGATAGCATTTGCACTCAGTGCTGCCGGTTTATTCAGTCCTAGCTGGCAGGTGGTCGATATACGAGAATTTCGAGCCGAACATCATGTAAGTTCTATCCAATATTTTCAACTAAAAATATTTCACTACTGCAATTTTTTCCAGCACGGCCTTTGGCTTGATTGCACTCGAGCTGAGCGATATTTGGCCACGGTTGCTCAAGACGTCAGTGATGGACAAGCATTACATTGCACTTACAAATTCGACTACTCCGCTAGTCAGGTAAATACTTCTGAATCGCCTCGCTTTGGTCCCTCATACGAGTCAAAAAGTCTGATACAAATGTTGGGGCATGGATCCTAAGGTTGGCGTTGCGGAGAGGGTGGCAAAGTGGTCGTTGGACCATGTGCGCGCCACTCGCAACAAGCCCTTGATAGTTCAATCCATGCTGCATGCGAGATTGATGTGAGATGAATGAAAGGCAAAATTGTTCTGAGTCACACTTTGTATTCTCCCTATATCCCTTGAATGTGGTCGGGAGACGTACTGCCATTAGTTACTTTTTTTTGCAAACCGTTACTCCCCTCGGGACTTCTTCCCCTGGTACGACTCCTTTCCCTTCCCTTGGCGCCCTTCTAAGTTTCTCCGCTTCTGAGCCATTTTTCTTTCTTTTTGGAACTTCTCCCACTTTTTTACGACCCCTCCCCTATCGCTGGGGATCCGCGACGTACGATGTGTCCTGATTGTAGCGCCTTCAGCCGCTGCTCCAGTTGATTTGGTACTGCTGTTCTAAAGATGGTGGAAACGGTGTAGGGACAAAAGTTGCGACTCGCGCGGTCCTGGGAAATCCCGGGTCGACTTCAGTCTAGGCCAACCAAGCCTTCTACCCACCGAGGACGCTAAATTGGTACCAGATTCGCCTGTGAGGATAGGAACACTGACTTGTACATCGGCTGGCCCCCGCATTTCATTGTATAGGCCACTACGATCGCATTCAATAAGCCACTACGATCCTGAATGGAAGTAGAATGCGTGCCGTATCCCAAAAAGGGACTGATCAAAGGCGGAAACTTTATATTTTTGTATACTGTGAAGCAAGCCTTCATGAGTAGCTCCGTTTTACAAATATGCGCCTGAAAAACTTTTTTATCAAATGATGGCCAAATCACGGCACTTTTTTTAAATGTGTTTTTTTAAATGACATTAATATAATGTTTAAGGTGATTGGCGAAAACATGGAGGACATCGATCAGAACAGCGCGGCTGGCGAGAGTGAACACCATCAGTTCTTCGGTACTTTTTCCTTTTTGTTTCAAAAGCTCGGAATAAGCTTTTCATAACGAAGTACGCTAGGCGCTATTTCGGTAAAGCGGAGCATAGTGCTGTAAAGTGCTGTGAAGAGATCGTAAGCTGAAGGGATGAGGGCTCCATCGAAGCTAGGCAGATTGTGTAGGACTCGGCTGGGTCAACCATAATGGTCCAGCCAGTTGTCGTGGTCTTAAATGTCTTGGTGCAACAAATTGTTCCACCATACTGGAGTAGAATCTTTTGCTACTTTGGGAGTGCCTCAGCGAAATGATTGTAGGGCAATAGCATTTCTTGGAGAAAGAGTCTCGCCTTGATGATATCGCTTGAACCAGTGCACTTCTTCACGCTCAGTGGCGAGCTGCACCTTTTTGCCACATCAGAAGGAAGGTGCCATTAACGAAAACAGTTTACTCATTGGAGCCCGTAATGCGGCTCAAAAATATGGAAATTGGTCGTGAGCGCCTAAGTTTGCTCCTGACGGATACAAGTGCTCATCTTTCACATTTTCAACCAATATATCTGAATTAAGCTTGGCACAAAGCGGTCCTTGGGTGTCTCATCGTTTCCCTGCTGTTCTCTTCGCTGGCACTTTGCTGTGGATTGTGCGCTCCATGCAACGGCGGATGCGCAGTGATCTTCTCAATATTCGTCTTTCTATCGCGTAAGTTTTGATTTCATTGCGTTTGAGGAAGAAATATTTGAAATTCCAGTTGTTTTTTGAGTGAGTTCCGAAAATTTTTACTTTATGCGGAGAGCTGGGATTGAGATGCACACCGCATCAGAAAGGCCCAACAAGCAACAAATATGACAGTGTCCCAAACATGCATTCCGCAATAGCTGAATGGGCGGATACTCGCAGCCATTGCGTCTTCATTAGGGGCTCGCTCCTCCTCTCACGACTGTATAGATGAGAACGCGCCAACGAGGGCAACTCTTATACGATTACCTCGTGATGTGTACCTAAAAACAGCTTTTGAATTACCAATCAGGAAGTGTTTGGGTAAACTTTGCCCCGGTCTGCCTGTCCCTTTAGGTGCTATGACACGCATATCACCATTTTCGTTGTTTCAGTATTTATGGCTGTTATTGGCGACGGCATCTTCTTCTTCGCTTTGTGCTCTCGGGTCGATAATCGATTTGTTCAAGGACTTGTTGGAACATGTATGAGGTGAGATCCATAAAAAAGCAAAATCAGAGTCCTCAGAAACAAGTCAACGCATTGCTGGAAATACGTTTCCTTGTCCCGTAGACTGCTTTGACTCTTTCTTTTTCCTGAGCTCAATTTTATGCTGTCGTCTGCGCTCTCTTCCAAACATAGTATTATATAGGTTGTCCGGAAATTCTCAGCGTTTTGGCGTGTTTTCCTTTAAACGATCGTAACTTTTTAAATACTCATCGGATTTAATCGAAAAGGCACCATTCGAATCAGCACGCTTTTGTCAATGTGACGGTAGTCGGAAAATTCCCATCAAAGTAAAAAAACTGGGTGGTCGAGAATTCACGAAACCACGAAGACTTTTTATGTCTGGTCCTGTTTTGATGAAGTATTTCTCAGCGAGAGAGTTCTGAAAATGCTTTGAAGAGGGAATATTCACGTTGGCGGAAGGCCTGCGAGAATATGGCGGTTGAGCGGCGTAGAATTCAACCCCAATTCGGTCAACCTCTATGGATAGTGATTTGTGGAAACGTGTGGGCGCGGCGTTGTCATGCAAAGGAATCGGACCCTTTCTTTTGATTAAGTGTTGGCTGCATCTGACAAAATTTTCGGTACAGTTCGTCGACTTCTTCACAGTAGGGTTCTGCTTGCTGATGGTCTGGCCTGGTGATTAAAAAGTTATAGTGCGATCACACCAGCCTGATGACCACCAAGCCAAGACCAGAATCTTTTTTCCGTGAGTGTTCGGCTTTGAAATTACCTCGTAGGTTCTTCGAAATCTAACCACTGTTCCGGAACGTCTCCTGTTATCATACAACGACCCATTTTCATCACAGTGACAATTCGGCTCAAAAGCAGGTCGTTTCTGCTGCGAAGGCAATTCAGAAGAAACTCGAGAACGTGCCGATTCCTGCCAGTCACTCCGATTGTAGGGCACCCAATTGTCGAGTTTTTTCATCTTCCCAATGCGTTCCAGACCATCTGCAACAGTGGATTTGCCAACGCCTAGCTCTTCCGCTATCTCTCGGAACTGTTTGGATGGGTCAGCCTCCAAAATCCCCCCTAAAAATCCTCGTCAGATATTGCTTTAGGTCGACCCCCGTGAGGTTCATCTTCAAGGCTGAAATCTCCAGAACGAAATTTGTTGAGCCATTGCCGCACAGTGCTTACTCTAGCACTACTGGACCCCCACACATGGTTACTTTGTTGAAGCTGTTTCGATTGCGGTTGCCCCAATTTATAGTCGAAGAAAAAATAGTCCGAAGTGCTCTTTTCACTTGCTTGAAAAAAAACTTGAAAAAATGAGGTTTATCAAGCAATGGTGAAATGGCAAGTATACCAGCAGATAGCGCAGGAAATTCTCTACAGGATGTGCTACTGAGAAGCAAGGCAGAATGAGTTTTTAATCAGCAGTGAATGTACAAAAATAGGTGCACAAAACGCTGAGAACTTTCCGGACAACCTAATACATGGTTCTTGAGGCTCGCACATTCTTGCTTTTCGCACTCCAAGTGACTCAACCATTTCCCTCCTCTTGGCAAAGCCCGTCCGTTTGGTATTACGTATGTTCTGTCCACCGTCTGATGCTCTGGCTACAGTCTTGTTCGCTGCGGACGCAGGGGCGTGTCAAGGGGAGGGGCTTGCTGGGTTTGGAGCAGCGCCAACCGCTTCTCCGCCAACTGTCGAAGCTGGTAGGCCACAATTGGCGGAAAATGGCTGGCGCCGCGCGACCAACCCCGCTCCCTCCCCTGAAATTCCTTGGTGTCTTCTGTGAACAAGAATCGATCTTTAGTTGTCTGTGCTTTCTGCTCACTACCAGTCCATGGCGAAAGTTCAAGCAGCCAAATAACCTCAGCCTTTTTTATTATTTTTTTTCGTCCATTGTGAAAATTCCATTTGTTTCAGCAACAAATCGGTGTCGCATTCTATCTACATGGGTCCGGTACCCTGGTTCTTATGTTCGGATTCCTTGTAGCCGTGATAGCATCGTATCAAATCCTTCGGAAATCTGAGCTATCAAACTCTCTACCATTACGGGAACTTGCACCATTATATGGGTCTCGAATGAGAGAAACATTTGCTTGATTAGACAGAATGGGTATAATTATATATTGATGAACCTCAAAGAGGTGTGTTATGTGTTGTATTTTGTTCTTCTTCTTCTTACTACTTCCCAACTTCTCTGTTACTGACCATGATTTTCCAAGCCTGCCACTCTGTTATTCACATTTTGCCTTATTCGCATGGAATGGTGTGGATAGGCCTATAGTCGTGATCCCTGTCAATGAGAGGGCGTGTAAAGGGGTGTAGATCGGAACGCAACCCGACCAGCCTCTTCCACCGATTGTTGCGGCTTCAGGATGGCATCATTGGTCGGAAGGGTTGCCCTAATTACGCTACTATCCAGAGCCCCTCACACGCCTCTCACTTTCAGGGATAACGACGACCTACAAACGTGATCGTAACCTTGTAAATGCTTGGAGGCACTATCAGAGCACTATTCGTAGTAAGAATCCCAACGGGGCCGCTCGCACTTGGTCGCTGGAGCTCAGAGGGTCGTATTTTGCTATTAGCTTTCGTGCAATCCTCCGCAGAGAATGAATCAGGTCTGCCTGCTCGTAAGCATCCTCTTACAGAGGTAGCATTACATATAGACGAATTGTCCTCGCTACTGCTCCCTTTCGTACTGGTGTTTATTTGCTCTCAACAACGAAGCAAAATTGGCGTGGCTTTCACGTCGGAACGGGTTTGTCGCGGTGTGGCTAGGTTCTGCTGGTGAGCCGACCCTGCTTAGGTACTTTGCGCTGGCTTGGGTTCGGTTCCAGAAACTCTCTTGACTGTAAATGGGTTTCATTGACCAGCTTAGGGGCGAAACCTGCGCAATTCCCATCGCACCAGATTAATCCAAACCAGGAGAGTACGCTGAGGAGGGAATCCCATTTCTCTTGGGAACAGGGGAATATAAAGAAGGATGGGGATCAGTTCTACAGTTTCAGTGCAGTGAATTCTCTCTACCAGCCGATTTTTCCGCAAAAAGCTGGGGTAATAGGTGGGTGACACTGCCTCCAGGTTGCAGGAGTTGGTTCACCGTCACGGCATGCCTTCGAGGTGTCTTACGGCGACACTTTTACAGGACTGTACTTTCGGGACCATCTTTCCGTCTCTGTAGTGTTAGTAACCTCTCACCGATGGTGTAATCCATGGTGTAGTCTACCTTTCATAGGGTAATGGATTCGAAGGATGAACCTTAACTAATTAGCAGCGAGGAAGCTGAATCCCTCTAGCCCCCTCCTGCAACACTTAACCCAGCAGGCCTTACTGACTTCTATATAGCCCGATCTTTCAGCGATATCGAACTCTTCAAAGTCCGGAAAACATATGGGCACATACTTTTGATACACGTAGGAAGACGGTCTTGCCGAAACGTCGGGCTGAAATGGAAGTCCCACCGTAAAAATCTGTTTAGCGCACCGAATATTTACCTAACCCTGACGGCAAAGTTCCAAGTACGACCTTCACCTAGGGCGCCATTGTTCTCTACAACTCTTTAGCTGCTCACGGGAAGCGTGCCAACAATATCCCGCCTGTTCACTGGGGGTATTGGTCCCCACGACTCCCGCAGATAGCGTGAGGTATGCACATCGCGTATCGCTGCTCAGGTTGCACATTGTGGATAGTGGGCGGAGACATAAAAGAACATCTGTCTGTAGCAACCTCGCAGATTCGCATGCCGCACCCCTCCTAACGGCCAAATTAACACTCTTCTCCCGTGCAAACGTGACCGCCTGGCCCAGCCCAAGACCAAGCTCTTCTACCGCATTCTTAGAATCTTGAGGGGGGACGAATCAATGAGGAAAGCTCATGCCGGAAGTGATTCCACCCACCGTCAACGTGGAAAACGCCCCTAAGCTGCTGTTATCATCGCAATAAGGGGAGACGGGCAAGAGAATTGTAAAACGCTGCTTCGTCGCGTGCGGCAATGGGCGCGACGCCTCCTTAATTTGCACTATCCTTTTGACTGGAGCACCGGGTTTCCTGTAAACAAGGACATGGTGAACACTCATGTCTATTTCTGGTAAGACATTGTCTATTCTCGACCAATACCACTTGAAATAGTCATTAGCGGGCGCGACGTCGCATGCGACCCCGTTGGCACGGCGAATTACGATTCTCTTGCCACATACCCGCAATAAGGCGGGGCGGTGTCAAAAGGCATGCAATAAGCCCACGAGCCGCTTACCATTGGTTGTTTTCTTCCTGAATCCATCACTAAGCGATCATTACTGGTTAAAAAGAGCAGCTGAAAGCGGACTTATTCCGCCCCTTCTGACACCGCCCCGACTGATTGCCGCGATACCAACTATAAATCGTCAACTAGAAAAAGCCACAATTTTTTGGCCTGCTTTTCGCTGACAGTGCCTGTTGCTAACACCTCTGAGCATTTATAAGGGTACGGTCCAGGAGAGACCTTCTTTGAAGGCCACCCACACCTATTCATATCGTGACCATCCGTCTTTTTTTCCATGTCAACATTCTTAATGTTTGATCTCCATTTTGCTACAATTCGATCGATACATCGGCTACTGTTTGTGTTATGTAATTCACATGTTTATACTATTTATCACATAAGAAATAATAAACACGATGTTTCGTGCACGTATATTTGATGAATAGAAGTTTAGATCACAAATCTGAGAGGCATGAATGAATATTGAATGTTTTTTGTACATTCAAAATTTAGGCAATACGGTGATTATTGATTATTCTGGCCCCAATCGTTATGATGCCAGTGTGATATTATTGAAATGCTATGCTATACAGGAACGAGAAATCGTCATCAAACAAAAGAAATCGTATGGATATTGATTTGTTTCAGAATCTTTGACATTACCACCGAGTTGTGCTCGTTACTCACTTTCTTCTCGTCATCATTTGGCAGAATTCTGAAAAAAAATGAATATTAAAGAATAGATTTTCTCAAAATAGTGGAATAGTAGAAGGAACTACGAAACATTTAAGTCATGCACCCTGGCCTCGCCTGAGTCGCGCCATGCACAAGTCTTTCTTTATTAATTCTTTCCAAGCGCGCTGCAGCACTGTGCAGGCGCAATGCTAAGAACAGGTTCTTTTGAACAAGTATTTTTACCGAAAGTTGCATCGTAAAGCGGTTCACACGTCAGGTAAATAACTATTTAGAACTAGCTCGTAACTTAGTACACCCTCTGACTCCGCTTTTATAGAGGTTGAATTTTTTTTACAACAACGCTGAGTTATGAGCAAAGCGCTCGGCATTAGCCCTGGAATCGAACCCGGGGCTAATGTGCTAATCATTACATCCTCAGGAGCCATCTACACTCCCAGCTTTTTGGCACGTGTTCATTTGTGGTGCTTGATGCCAAGGCATATGAAATAGTACTTGCTCTCAAATTGCCGAAAAAGACGAAAAAGCAAAATTGATCATCCAAGAGCCTGCGGGAAGCCTTTGTTCCGCACGGCACTGGACGAGCATTTGTGGACGAGTTTCCTGCTGACATCGCGCCCACAACCACTTCGGTAGATGCGACTGCACTTATGAATTCAAATATCCATGCAACAACACTTCATATCAATTGTACTACATGAATAAAGCGATAAATGTACCAGCATCAATGCGAGTGTGCGGCCATGCCATCTGTGGGCGGTTGCAATGGGCGCTCAGGTTGGCAGCTTGCACCTTGTTTAGGCGCTATGAGGGTGCCTTCGGTTGGAAAAGGTTCACTCAGCGTCTGCTAAGTAGCACAATATTCTTTCGTGCAAAGCGTATCGATGCTGTACGTCTTGTCGATTTATCGTGCCACTTCACTTAGATCTCGTGGGTTTGAGAAAAGTCATGGAGCCAAGCGCGAGCATCGTTGGCCAATAAAAAAGACACTTTTCTTCCTTTCAAAGCGCGACTTTCAAAGCGCTATGACTAACACTTTATCAAACTCTGATTGGACATTTCCACTATCATATACAGCAACACAGTACATTATCGTGATACTCCTCCACAGCCATCTGGACGAACGTCATGAGATTCTGCCACGCGACTGTGATTCGGTGTCTGAGTTCAGCGAAATCGTTGATTCCGCCACTGTAGGCCACCCTGCTGGGCTCCTTCCGTACCCGGTACTTGAGGGATTTCAGGGCACGTGGCACACTTGGATATTCCTTCTTCTCCAGATACTCAACGCCCTCCAATTCCAGGTGGGTGAGAGTTCTTCCAATGCTCTTTGAATCCATGTGCTGTCACCCAATCCTGCAGCAGTATGAATTTTCCAAAATGGTATAGGAGACGACATAAGAGTAGGATATTCTCCTCGATTTGGTCCATGTAACAGTCAGCGTTCACTTTCAGACCGGGATCCACAAAGAAAATATCGGTTCCCCATTCCAGGATCTTCCGATCTATACCACCAACCCACGCCTTGGCGACTACGGTGAAGATAATACCCTGGCCCGTAGCGACGCTGTCGGAGCTGCTCGGTGTTGGAGATCTTGCAGATCCAGAGTGCCGGTCTCCAGGTAGCTGTTCATGGGTGATTTGGTACAAGAAGTTTTGCAGCTGTTTGGAGGTGACGTCAATTCCATAGTCCTTCTCCAGTCAGGCTGCGATTACAGATGGCTTCATATTTTGGTTTACATGAAGGTGGTGAACGAGGGCTTGCTCCTGCTTATCGTGGAACACCTTGGGTATATCCGCCCTGATACTCGTATCCACGTCTTGTATCTGGGCTGCGAGCGATATGTGACTCGGCCAAAGTGTATTTTTTTATTGCCCCCCCCCCTGTATGTCGATAAACCCAACGTGTGGTTGAGTGCGTTTGAGTAAGGTAAGGATGGTCAAAGCTACTTCATCTTCACAGCTCTGGGAAGAATGCCAAGGATGAAGGCAGAATTGTAGATCCAGCTCCGCCCTTACGATCAGCATGGACAGTGCTCAACAAGATGAGGTGTTTTCTCGGAGCAGCCATAGCAAGGACACTCTGTCAAAAAGTGTCGAACAAACTCTAAGAGACCGACGCTTAAACTTTCGAAAACAGATTCGAAGAGCAGAGGGGGCTGTAGGTCAGTACATAGCGGTGAGGGAGACGGTGCAAATACTGCTCGGCATTCGGTCCACTATCCAGTTGATTCAACGTGGTGGCACTACAGTGTCAAACTGAACTCATTGCCGCGACACTGATCTTAGTGGAGTTGACGGACCTTCTGAGCTGACATATGGAACTGCTCCTATTCTATCGTCAGCTGTACCGTGTTAGCGGATCGCTATTTTCAAGAGCTACACCTCCAATCCACCTACCACCTGTCCTTTATTACTTTGATTTCGGTGGTTTGTCAATACCAGCTCGTTTTCACCGATTGTGATCGTTTGCCAATCTCTACAATTGGTAAAGAGTGGGTTGGTGCCGGGCCAAAACAGCCTCTTGACATGCCTTGGCGTACCCACCGAACAACACTCTAATGCCTGTAGTTGCTGTGCTGACCAAAATCATCCTACTAATATAATCGGCTATGTCCGTGTGTGTGTGGTGTGTGGTGGTGGGAGTGGCTTGCGCGCGCGTCTGATCTTGTCTGTCTGTCACGAAATTCATAGCACCTGAAGAAGAACTTGGAGAGGTCGGATCATGGTGGGGAGGGTAGAGCATGGGACAAAACCTAAATAGCACTCATGACCCATGGTAAGCCCCGCCCACAGCGGGCGGAGCGCGCGTCAAAAGTTAGCGATGTCACCGAAGAAAGTCATAACTCGGTTCCAGAGCAGCCCCGGGATGAGAAAACAGTGCAGTAAGGTTAACAAAGGCTGACTGACCAAAAAGAGGAGACACACCCAAAATGGGCGGCGCTGCCCATGACCCTCAAAAATCACCGTAACTTGGCTACGAAGAAAAGTCGGTAACTCGGTCCCCGAAAATGTTTAGGGAGCGCAGAAAAGTCCATCACGAAGAAGAATATCTTGCAAGAGTTCACTATGTTTGCCGCTTGCTGAGGCCCGCCCACAGTGGGCAAGGCGTGCATTTGAGCACGAGGAACAGTATAAAAAATCGTAGTTTGGTCCTAAACCATTGCAGATGGTGCCAAGAAGTGGATTACTCCCCAAGTGATCTAATGTAAGAATGTGCGAGGCACTCCCGTTGTGGGCGGAGCCTGCACCGGGGTGGGCGGATCCGAATTTAAGAAATTCGCAAAATGGTTCCAGAGCACTTCAGACACCTGGAAAAAGTAGTTTATGATCAGCGAAGAGTCCTCAGTTGAGAGGCGCGAGGCACACGCTGTGGGAGGGGCGTGCTCAGAGTTGGGTGGAGCCAAATCTGAAAAATTCGCGAAACGCTTCCAGAGCACTCCAGACACCTGGAAAAAGTACTTTGAAGTCAGCGAGGGGTTGTCAGTTGAGAAGCGCGAGGCATACGTTGTGGGCGGAGCGTGCGCTGAGGAGAGCGGGGTCAGTGTTAGAAATTCATCAAGCGATTACAGATCACTTCGGGCACTCCAGACCTCCTTTGTGACACGGCCCGGCCTTGCGCGGCGTGGTCCATCGCGCCTGCCTGCATTCATATGATCAAATGCTCGACTAATACCCGGCTTTCCTCTCATCTGTCCACTTGATTAACGCTGCTTTCCACTATTTCATGCACAGTAATAGTGTTGAAAATAGCAGGTATGGTGCTATTGAAGTAATGTTGATCATCCGTTCAGATGAAAGAAAAGCCGAATACTAGGCGGGTATTGAAATGTGTGGAAAAAGATAAGCGCGGTGGAGCCGCGCCCGCCCGGCCGTGCTGTATCTCAGAAAAAAGGCGCGCCGGCTGGTAATAGGAATCAGATTTTCACGTGCCAAGCGGAGAACCGTATGCATCTGTCAATTGCTGGTCACATAAACAAGTAAATAAAGTCCGAAAAGAGCTCTGAGAAGATATTACGTTATGTTCACCTTGGAAATTGATTTTCCCGTCCTTGTTCGAATCAACATGCTTATAGATAGACTTTATATCGTGATCAGAAAGTGCATGACCCATACGTTGAAATGCTGTCCGTAGTTCAGACCTACATCAGAACATAGTATTTCACTTGTAATGCAGTACTTCGAAAAAAGTGGGTCAAAGGCTGTCTTATTGCAAACTGACCTAGTGATGTATCCGTCGCCATCAACGTCTAGCTCCTCGAACACTGCTTTCAGTGACAACGAAAGTGGATTGGCATGAGCAATTTGAAGGAATTCTGAAGCATTACCTTATTATTGAGCTTATCCTCATATTTGCTAGAAAAAATGTTGCTCAGAAATTTTCAAAAAAAGTCTTTAAGTTAGAGTCGAGTGCTTCAAAGTTGCGGGAAAAAATTGTGAAAGCAAAATAAGAACGCTATGCTCGGAAAAGCAGTAGAAGTTCGAGTGCATTGTTTTGGAGGGGGAGTGGGGAGGGTGTGGAAGTAAAAGGAATAGTTCACTCGGACTGTATGCACGGTGCCAAAGTGGTGAAACTCTCTCTTTCAAGATGATGGAGATGCGGGGCTAGAGAATAGGCACGTCTGTACCCAGTCTCAGCCCTTTTTGTCCAGCGTGGACTGTGCCTTTGAGGAAAACAAAGGAAAAGTGAACCTTTGAAATCAATGTTTCCATCATGATCTTGGTCAGCAGCGTTGAACATCGCATCCAACTCTTCCTCCGTTGGCGACTGTCCCATCTTTTGCATCACCGACCGTAGTTCATCCTTAGATGGACTTCAATTATCAATATCACGAAGAATAGGGGGCGTGGCTGCGTACTCCATTCCAACATAGCGTAGGATGCTTCTTCGTGGGTTATTTCATTTGAGAAAAATGTCACCTTTCCCACAAACAGATGGTTACCTTTACGAGAAAGGAAAATATTCTACCAAAACGCAGCCGCTGCCTTGTTCAAATGAAGTATGCAACCACGCCCACCACAATCAGGGATTTGGAGCATATGGCGCCCTCATACTACATGCAAACACAAACATACTCTTTGAATGAAGCCGTCTCCATTCAGGTCGAACTCGCGAAAAATGCCCTTGAGATCGTCGTCTCGAATCTCGCCGACATCTCCCTTAAAGTGTAACTTTTATTTGAACAAAATTGCAACTCATATGAAGTAGCAAATGGTCCTTGATATCCTCTGCAACAAACCATTGATAATCAAAGCACATCTTCAAGCGATTCGCGATTCCTCAGAGCGCAGCCCACGCTCAACACAAGGATGGGACAGTCAATCCGTAGGCTCTGCTCATTTCTGCGCTTGTACACGTTGATTAATCAAAAGGAGGCGTGCGCCAATGAAGAAGGTGTGATGGTCAACCGTCTCCGCTCACTTAGTAGTGTGCCCCCTTGCTTGTGGGTCTCCACATTGTTGACCTTGTGCTTTTGGAGCCTATGCATAGAAGGTGGTATACTTTTGGTAAGCCTTCTGTTACTTCTCACGGACATAATAATAATAATACATTTTCTCAATATTGAATGGTTTCCAGAGCAATAGTCAAATTTATTGTCCCCAGGGGCGAGATTCTCATGGATAAAAGTGCGAAATTTACGGCTCTCTATCCTCAAAACCCCGCATCCAACAAAAAGTCGACGGCTGTACAGGAGACTTCTGTGAAAAAAAAGGGAAAAGGTCGAAATAGCGCGAATGCCTTACAAGGGAAGGGAAACCCCGTGTGAACCAGATGGCGAGCGAAGTACATTGTTAGTTTTTGAATCGATGTTTACAGGTATAGTCGTCTTCGCTGCAGACGCTAGAGCGTGGCAGATGAGCTGGGTTTGTCGCGACGGCAGCCCGTTCCCCACCAATTGTCGAAGGGAGCAAGTGACAACAATAGGCGGAAACGAGCTGGCGCCACGGAGCCGCCCCCCCCCCCTCCCTGACACGCCACAGTGTCTGGAGGGAAACGACGGTCTGGGCACTAAATCAGAGTCTGCATCTCGCAAGCATGTGAGCAGAACAAGGTTATACAACGACACAACGCACTGGTGATAAATGAGTAAACTCTGGCGTTTCGGACTGCTTTTATTTGTTCTTTGGGGTATCTTGACACGACTACCATATCAATGTGAGTCGAAAGCGGTAGGCGCTCACGCCATAGACGCTCAAGGGCAACAAATCCATTCAAAGTTTCGTAAGAACTCAAAACGTATCCTTAATTAGTGGAGCGGAAAAGTGCGGTATCAGGAGCAGTTTTCGAAGAGATAAGGTCATTGATAATTAGATTAGGTCGTTACTACAAAAACTAGGCAAGTGCAAAAAGTTGAGGCTGGGACTTCCTGAAGGCTATGTTCATTTAATTTGAAATGGATACGGATCCTAGCCCAAGACCGTCAACATGTTCGCATGTGGTTAGGCGTTCTATCATAAAATACATAATAAGGGCAGATCTTGTGAGATTCCCCAACAGGGGGCCGTGTGGTCGCCTAGGGGGGGGGAGTATTTGGTCTAAAAAAATTTTTTTGATAGTTGATTTGTCTTGTTTCAGGGACCCTATAGAGGGACTCGTATTTGCTCTTTCTGAGGGAGGGGGGGATCAATTTTTCTGTCTAGCCTTCTGAGAGGGGCTGCTGACTTTCCATGTTTTTTCCTATTTCACATGCACTATATCTCCTCCGCTCCACAGCAAAATGTTCGTGAAAAGCCAGGAAAATTCTCGAGAACTGCCGGTAAAACTGGGAGGAAGTTGGGAAAACCCAAGAAAGTGGGAGGGGGTAAGATGGGGATGGGAGAGGGTACCTTCCTCGCGGTATCAAAGGAGGGATCAAGGGGTCCGCATCGAGTCACCTTTTAAGGTGGGAGGGGGGGTGGCTGCGAACTCGACCAGAATCCCCTCAATGATTTACCCTGTACTCAACCCTGAATTGAACTTTTGACCTCATATGGTAGAGTCGTAGCCCCTTTTCAAACTAACTCATTAGTGAAAGCTCTTTGAATCCAACCTCCGAACCATATGGCAAAAATGCGTATTCAGATTAGGTATTTTGCAGACCATGCTATTTTCGCTGCCCAGACCACAAGATGGGAGAGCAATCAATACAACGAACAAGAATAGAAGAATCCCATAGGGCATGGGACAAGATTTACGGAACACACATGAATCAGGCTATGCCCCGCCCACTATGGGCCGGGCTTTCCCTCAGCCAGTAGACTTTTATTTCGAAAACTCGTAATTCGATCGTAGAAGAGCGCCGAAAGCGGAAAAAGTGGAAGATAAGCAATGAGTTGGCGGATGAAGTGAGAAAGGCACACCCATATTGGGCGGGGCTATGAGTGGGCCATGCCTGCAACAAAAATTTCAAAAAAAAAGTTCCTAAATCGGTTAAAAAGGAGCTCGAAGGAATAAATGAGGGAAACGATAGGCTTTCAGCTGGAAGGCGAAACGAGGCCAATCCCACTGGCCCTCTCTCTTTCGAAGATGTGTGAAGTATAGAAGAATTGAAACGAGTGAGTGAATTAGAAGAACTGAAAAGAAGTAGAATAATCCAAGATTCAACTTGAAAGTTATTCTAGAATCTCAGAAGTATCAATGGAAGTGGTTATAAAGGTAATGGTATTCATATAAGGTGCCCGTTGACAATTTGAAGACCTTGAACAACTATCGAGAAAGGTGCAATATGACAGGAGCTACTGGCAAAGATTGCGGCAACGAAAACCTGAATTAAACCGGCATGGATGAAGAGGAAGCCACCAGCATCCACACGATCATTCGTGATCTTTAACCCTCAAGATATGCGGAGAGGCGTGCGGTGTTCTACGGCAGCGAATGCTGGCACAGTCTGCTGAAATTATAGGACCGCGGGTGGGTCCCATGAGATAGATTTGAACAGGCGGGCGCCAGAGCCGTCATGAGTACTTTCTGTATTCGAGTGAAAGCAGTAGAGCTGGGAACAGAGCAGTATTCAGACTTCGCGACGGCAGTATTTTGGTCGAAGTCTACTGGATTCCAAAGTGAAAGCGACTGCAGTCCCAAACAAGGTACAGAAAGACGTCATAAGGAAGAAACTAAGTGAAAATGACGTCACCGATGAGCAGGAGATACATGGTGGTATTTGGCAAAGCGTAGCTCACAGACAAGGAATCATATCTCGAACCATCTCATGCTCCCGTCTACCAGGACCCATCCCCTTTGAGCACCACAATTGTCTGGGAGAGAAATAACACCAACCTATGCATAGACTGGCTATCGTAGGTTACTGCGTAGTTAATGAAATCGCATGCAGCATTTCACTACGATTCTGAATGGAAGTGAATCCATGGCGCATCCCTAAGAAAGCTTGATCAGGGGTTCATCGTTGCATGCACAAACTCTTCACGATGTACTTCTTGGACTGTTGTGGGGCTCCCTGGGGATAGATCATCAATATTTCCGAAGAATTGACGTACTCCTCGGCAGTACTTTGGAAATATTGATTTGTCTCTCCACATGGCTCGGGGCAGATGTCAACCAGACGATCTCTCGCTGCGAGGGTCCAGGGCTAATTTCACGGGGCATCTACCAGTCCAGCAGTTGAAGGGGAAGGTAAAGGAGGAGCGATGAGAGAAGGAAGGAAGAAAAAGAAGGAAGGAGGGAGAAAAAAGGAAGGAGCGGAGAAGCTTTCCGGTTGACATGTGCCCTGAGACGCTCCACATGGAGCCCTACGACCCTCCCCCCCCCCGCAGGATGTGAATACTCTCTCCTTTTGTCTTACTAGTTCAATATAATACGAATGAAATTTATAGACAATGAAAAACGCATATGCACGAAATAGTGCTCACAAGTGCAGTGCGCTTCTTTAGATTTATTTCTGCCTGGTCGAAAAAATTTAGAGGATGTGATCTGGCAATCGAAGAAGTGAATTGAGAAGCGAGGCATATCATTGGTTGGGATTTTCGTCGAGTTTGCACGACCATCCCCCCTAGGAGATGACTTTTACGACACCCCCTAGTTCCCTCCTCTGATCTGTGATACTGTGGAACGCGGGGGGGGGGAGATGGTGAGAACGATCTATAGCACATGTGATGTAACAGGGAGCGGGAAAAGTCAAAAACCGGGTAAAATTTTTTTAACGCCAACCTTTCTCTCAGAAGGCAAATACGACCCTACCCCCGTCTGTGGAACAAAAACAATCAACTATCAAAAAGTTTTCTTAGGTCAAATACGACCCCTCCTCCACAGCGACCAGATACGATCCCTTGCCCTGTTGGGGAATGTCCACCCGATGATGTGCCCCTGAGAAACTGATGGCTGTAGCTCAACGGCAGCGGACAACACTCACCATGGTTGGCAGTAGTTAAACGAATACTTGATTTACAGCTGTCATTAAATACTGTTTCTGCTTAGTGTTTATTTTATAAAAGATCTTTGTTTTTACCTTGCTTTCAGCACTGTCTGATGCAGCAGACTGACTAAAGAGGTAAATAAATAATTAATGTTGTAATCAAATTTGTTGCAGAGCTTCCAACCAATCCCTATTACGTCGATCCAACTCGTTTCCATTCAAAACAATTTAATGACGAACAATGCATGCCAAATTTGAGCAGTGTAATGACGAAAGAAAACTACCACAAGGGAAAAAGTACCAATCGAAAATCGATTAGATTTATGGCCTCGATTCGCATGTTCAAGCGATTATAGGAATTTTTATACTTGCGGTCGGATATATAGTACTTTAGGGACTACTGCACCAGTTTTTGGAGCCTACATAAGTATAAAAC